ACAACAATGAATATGTTGTAGCATATGCTAGCAGATCTTTGAATTCTGCTGAAATCAATTACTCTCCTACTGAAATTAAATGTCTTGCTGCAGTATAAGGAATGGAATACTTTCGACCTTATATTTACCTTAAGCCTTTTGAACTAGTAACTGACCACTCTGCTCTTAAATGGTTACTCATATGCGCGGATTTGTAGATCACCCCAAAATTTTGACGCACCTAAATTAGGTGCGTCAGTCATTTGATACTAATATCAACCAATCATATGCACTCATTTTTCATTGCGAATACAGGAATACGGGGTGAGTCAGCTATTTGACAACAAACAAAATTTAAAGAGCAAAATTTAGATACATTCTATAAGTGCACGCTCTATGTAATTTATCTCTAATTGCACGGTATATCTTGGTCCCAGCTTTCCCAGCTTATTATAGCATTATATTTTTTGCTCTCTATAAATGCACAAGTGCATATTTTTGATTACTATGGGGTGCGCTTACGGAGATGCGATAAGTCTCGAGTTTGGCTGCTGATGAATTTAAAATAAGTACCTGGTATGTAATTGAAACAATATCAACACATTAGCGTCATACTCTGTATATTAAACTAATATTAAGCCTCTAGGTTTCAGACTAAGATTGCAAACAAGGATTGGATCAAACAATCCTAAAGTTACAATACACCTAAAAAGTGCATATATCATGTATTATCTCATAGCTAGCTGCGACAATATTAATATCTCTTAGCAAAAACCTTGAGTGGGCAATCACAACTTTCGCTATAGTGACAGAATTTAGTATAGTGAAGTATCATACATATAGTATTTTCTTGATGTGAATTTTTTTCACCCAATGATTTAATTAGGGTTGTATATGCTATGATTCTTCGTATGAATGGATTATGTTATAATATAAAATAAAAATTATATATTTATATGATATATATATATTTGTAAAAACACATTATTGATCACAAATAAATAGTTTAATTCGAAGTAGTAGTATTTGGGAAATGCAAATATTTTCGAATATTACATCACATAAAGAGACAGGATGAATATAATTGCCGCCTTTCGGCAAATGCTTCGCAAAAGAACACTTTCATTCTTTTTAATCCCAACTCCATTTTTATAGCAATGGCCAACTTAATATATTTTATCCCAACTGATATTTGAAAATGAATAAATGCCTTATACTCGTTTTTTTTAATTTTGAGCCTATAATCAACTATGTTTGTCCTAAAAGTATAACATACCTCTATAGATTTTTGAAAATAAATAATTGCTTTATTTTCACCTTTTTCAATCATAAATCTATCTTGATAACAGGCACCAGCTTGAAATGCACTACTAGAATTTCCTATACCAGCGAATGTTTGATAAGAAACAAATAACTTGTGCACATCCTTTTTAGCTTCTAGCAGACCATTTTGTATGAGATAACTATAAATAAATTTTCAAAAATATAATCATAAATAATAGTATCATACCGTTAGCCATTCTTCTCATTATTCCATTATTTCTAGTCCAAGTCAAAAGAAAATTGATCCAAGTTTTACTCCGCTTCTATTGTAAAAAAAAAAAAATATATGGGCAGCCATCAATAGAAATCAAGCAAATCAACATTTGAAAAAAAATTAATGCCTTGACTTTCACAGCTCATATCTCGGTGGATTTTAAAGCTATCTTAATGCTTTAATATTCAAAAGAAAGCATAAATCATAAGCTTTCGTTTGAATATTAAATCATCAAGATAACTTTAAAATTCATCGAGATATGAGCTGTGAAAGTCAAGGCATTAATTTTTTTTCAAATGTAGATTTGCTTGATTTCTATTGACGGCTGCCCATATCATAGACGTGTAAATACAAATTGAATAAATGTGAGTACTAATTAATGTGCTTTGAATATGACAGTACCTGAACTGATATATCTTCAGCATCTACTTTTGCAAAGTAACATGTTAAATTAATATATTTAAATTCAAATAAATGAGTATACATCGTCATATATGTTATGAACAATCGAATACTATCGGGATGAGATACCTAAAAAAATCAAGATCCAGTAATGTTTGGTTTTCTTAGTAAAAATTACACAATTTCATTACACGAATGGAATAACAAAATATTATCTTTAGTAATATATTTAGTCAAGAGTGGATATATAATTAAAATATTGTGATCAAGAAATATTCAAGTGTAGTATCTATTTGGGTCTTTCTTTAGCAAGGTATTATTAAGAGTATTAAATATGTATGTTAATCCAGTTAATGCTTAGAATGGCTCAAGCTGAGATTTGGGAGTTCTATTTAAAACTAATAAATCTACCAAGATACGCGCATATACTCCTTTATTCACCTAATACTAAAAGAAAGAAAATTCAAAAACGCACCTAAGTAATTTTAAATTTTTATATATAATTGTAGTCAATTTTCATTCTCAGATTCAGCCTTAAATTAACTAACTAGTAAAACACTTACATGCTAGCTTTTTATTCATATACATCCGAAATGATAATAATAATAATAATAATAATATTATTAATTAATTTGCCATCCAGTCTTAATACAATTCATGAATGAGAATTAATTATATCAACTCCTGTTGATTAACCACAAGAATTAGTATATGGTGATAACTCAAAATATATTAACAAATACTAAAATTTTTAGACTTACCTGCTATGAAAAATAAAAATAAATAGATTGAACAACGCATTAACAAGAATAATATTTATATTTTTTGTTAAAAAAGATAGTTACTGCTCATTTTGGATAGTAAAACCCCTTTTTTAGGTCGCCTTGATAAAGTGTAAAAAATATTCACATTTTTTCTGGCTTATAAAAAGCAGAATTAACTTTTAGATTAGTTACATATGGATGTTGCCAAGGAAACCCCCATTATCGGGCTTTTAATTATATTTTGTGAACGCAATTCCTAACAAATTAAATTGATTTTGTCTGGTATAAAATATGATTGAAAGCCTGATGATAGGTTTTTTTTGGCGGCATTCATATATATTCTAAAATACAAGCACGTGATTATAGTGCAACCAGTGTTATGAGATATTAGCTTTGAGTCATATTAAGTCAAAAAAAAATGAATTTTTTCTTATAAACTTCGAAAAAAATTTTCATGATAACTGGATATTTTTTTTTTCTTTTATGCAAAAGTAAAAATGATTAATTTTTAAATGAAATTTAAAATGAAACCTATGCTGCCGGGCTTTAATATCTAAATAAGTGAATGCTATTAAACTAATTCAACTCGGGGAACTAAAGAACAAAGGAAATGATGAGGGTGTAACAGTAAAAGTAAATTAATTTAAAACATTTTTTTAGAATTAAATTTAACTGCCATGATCGCACAAATAATGTGTAACGAATATAAAAAATTTTTTCAAGTACACGTACAAGTTTTTATTAAGTTTTAATTTAGAAAACGTTAGAATGTTAAACAACGAAACAAGAAAAACACTTAATGGGACAATAAATCATAATTATTCACATGATAATTTAGTTCTCTAAAAAAGCAAAAATGGAAATTACAATTATACAATTATAAATTTAGGTTCACTTCCCCTGAAACCAGATCTTAAATATACGCAACGTCCAGGACAATATCCTATCCCAAACGACTATCAAATAGAAGCCTTTTGGGGGCGTAATGAAAAAAATCATGTTCAATCATCTATTGATTATGTTGAAGGAACTCCATATTTTAAGATTAAATGGATACATAATGAACAAAACTACATAATAGTCTCACAAACCTCACCTTCAGATGCATTCAATAAATATTGTAATGTACGATATTTCAGAAAAAACACAGCAATTTCTGGAATACTTATTTTCGGACTACAATTGTATGAAGAATTGACTAAAGTCGTGCCAAAAAAAAATCGACCACGATTTATTAAACCTCTTAGTGATCTTAGTAATTCTTCACATAGAAAAAAAATTAAAAAAGCAGGTAAAAGTTTATTCAATGATTTCGAGAAAAAAAAAAAAATTTGGCATCCTACAGATAATCCTAGACTCAAAGAATTAGTGTTAGAAGCAGGTGAACAACCATGGTTAATAAAGTTTGAAGAAGATTGACAGTTAGAAAAGAAAAAAGCACAAAAAGTCATTCAAGCAATGGATCAATCTAATATTTCACGAAAAGAATATAGAGCTTTGACGACTACTTCGCAGGATTTGCCAAAAGAATGGCTAGTTAGTGAAGAAAAATATAATGTAAATGAAATAATGCAAAACCATATTCTATTGCTAGTATTTGATTTGAATGCACAAACAAATAGTAATTCAGATAGTGAAAGTGACTCGGATAGTGGAAGTAACCTAAACAGTGAAATAATTGCAACCACATTAGAAAAAGGCGTTTATAGAAATATATCTGTAATTCTTCGGTTTGTTGTTCCAAAACTCGTCACAAATAAAGTTTTAAGCTACAAAACCCCCATAATATATTTGAGAATATCAGGTGACAGAAGGAATGTTGGCAAAAAAATTAAACATGTTATGATAACACTAGCAATCCTTAATGACAAAAAAAATCTTATGAAACCAGAAAGCCATTACACAATTTTATTATTTTCTGGAACTGAGAATTATGTTTCTCTCAAAGTCACCTTGGAGCCGATTTGCTATGAATTACAAGAATTGCATAAAAATGAGTTTATTGATACTATTAATCAACAATGGAAGATTGAAGTCTTTTTTTCATCCGATTGGAAATTTTTGGCAATAATTTTAGGTTTTAATGCGCCTAATGCATTTAATTTCTGCCCGTGGTGTCTCTGCACTAAAGATTTAATAAGCGATTAAACCAAAGTTGGACAATAACAAAAAAAATTGATCAAATTAAAAAAAACTGTCAAAAGTTCCCAGATTATATTCATTCGCCTATTTTAGATATGATTCCAATGACTCATTATGTAGTAGATCAACTTCACCTGATGTTACATATAACCGATCATTTGTGGGAGTTGGCTCTAAACGAATGCAAGAATAATGGTCACTTTGTAGATGAAATGAGAGAATTAATATGTGAAGAGATGAGTGCCATCAGAGTAAAATTTGGTTTTTGGCAAGATCAAGAGACAAAATCGTGGAAATTTACCTCTTTAATGGGCCCTGACAAATTGAAAGTAATAGAAAATTTTAATCTAAGTATAATGTTACTACAAGCACATGCTACAAAAGTTCGAAAACTCTGGTCAGGATTTTGTGAACTTTATAAAATGCTAAGTCAGAATAAATTAACAGGAAATACATTCCGTAACAAAGCTCAAGAATGGTTAAGTGTATTTCTAACACCTTCACAAATTATTCTTGGCACTAATAAAATAGATAAAGGATTGTACACTTCAAGCAACATAACCCCTTATATGCACGTTCTAATCTATCACGTTTCAGAATTTCTGGATATTCATACACAATGGGGACTTGGCGCATTTTCTTGCCAGCCAGTCAAAAAGAAAAATCATCAACACGTGTCGACTTTTTTTTCAAAAACTTTAAAAAATGGTGCACAAACCTTTGCAATTTTGAAAATATTAGAGATGGAAAATAGAGCGTTGTATTTTTGGCGATTTGAAGAAGGTTTAGCATTGCCTAAGTATAAGAAGATTAATATCACACATTTCAATGAAATTGAATACTATTGTTTTATTCTGTTAAGGTTAGCAGAATCTCTTTTGGGCAGACAATACTTATTACTCAGTAGAAAAATATTTCCGTAATGCAGAGTTTAAATGATTTAGTGGTCTAATTACAGAATTTCATTTTATTCTCGAGGTATTTGCTTATTTCATTTATCAATACACCGGAGGGTATTTAGTAGTTGAAACTAGATGTTATTTCAATGAACATAATAAAGCATTTAGATAGATTTAATTGCTAGAATTTAAAGTATTATTTAATTTTCACATTCAATTTTTACATTTTAAAGTTGCAAACCCAAAAATTTAAATTTAGACCATTGATATGTTAAAAAATAATGGACAATACAACAATATAACAATACGTTGCTTATTTATTGAACAAATATCATCTAACATATCATTATATTATAGCCATACTATCAATGTATTAAGAATTTAGGATTTTTGGTTTAATTATTCTTAAACAATCTCAAGTGAATTAAGATGGTTGACACTTGCAACGAAAAATCTGACGTTTACAGATTTGGAGCCCTTTGGGAAATTTCAAGCTATTAGACATATGTTAACGATATCAAGCATAGAATCGCATATAATCCAAAATAATAAATCACCAAATTACATCAATCCTTAACTTAAGAAAATATTAGATGATGAGAAATTTAAATTGCCTTGGATTGATTATAATGAGTTAAGGAAAAGGATTCTTAAAAAAATATATATATTTCGAATAGAACTTTTTATATCTATCATAAAACTAACCGTGAATTGTAAATAAACCAGTAATAAGCTCTTTTATTAGAGAAAGCCCTATTCCTGTACCTTCATGACTACGTGAACTTTGAAATTCTAAACGATAAAAATGCTGGAATATATTTGGAAAGGCAATTTCTGAAATACCAATACCTAGATTTAAGAAAAATGACAATTCGTACATACAGTTTTAATTTAGTTGAACTATTATTTGTAAATAGTTACCTAGTGCAATCAGAGTGTAATAAGTAAAAGAAAATATATACCTGTATCTGAAACTTTAAGAACTACCATTTTTTTATTATCATTATAGTCAGGATATAAATGAATTTTTATGCTTCCATTCCAAGTATGCTTTAACATACTCAAACCTTTAACAGTCAAAATACATTAATATACACATTTTAATAATATAGCTTTGTATTAAAAAAAACTTTTTGATATATTTTTATAAAAAAAAAACTCTTACAAAGATTAAAAACAATAGTTTCATACATATCATGATCCAAATAAACCTTATCACCTATAGCTTGATTTAATTTTTCATGATATGGAATATCGATAATATAATCTAAACCTAATGTTTTAGCTATATTTTTAAAATCTGAAGCTAATTCTCAAGTAAATTCGGCTATATTTGTTTCACGATAGTTCGCCTCTAATTGATTAGTTTCTATATTTGAAAACTTTATAAAAAGTGAAATGAATATAATAGTTGTAAAAAACTAATTTTAGTAATTACTGTATTGAGTATTAATATTAAATTGTTAGTTATATGTTAACTTACTTGTAATAAAGTGTTAATAAGTTTAAGTAATCAATGAGCATTCCGTCGTATAATTTGAAGATATAATATTATTGGCACTTCTTGTGGACAAGCATTAATTACGTCGTCGAGCAGTGAGAGTCTAAAATATTGGCCGATATCAAAAAGTGATTTTTTTTCAAGACATTAGTCATGAACTAAAAAGTATTATTATTTTTTTAAAAAAATAATAATTTTAATTATGGTTTTCATATACCTATTTTTTTTCTAATTTTTCACATTCAATAATGCGCTCTTGCCCAATAGAATTTCCTGAGAAAACTTTGAAATTTCCTGATAAAGCTTAAGAACCTTCTTATATTCTTGACGAATATACTTAATGAGAGCCTAACAAATATAACACTTAGTAAGAAATTGAAAAGAATATTTAGTTTGTAAAACTTACATGTAGTAAGAAATTGAAAAGAATATTTAGTTTGTAAAACTTACATGTGTTTTAGTACAAGTACCAACTGAATCGTTTTGACCAAACCCTAAATAAAAAAATCTTTCTAATAAATTTAATAATTATATTTTCTAAATGCAATTGAAAGCTTTCAAATAAAGTTATCTTTCATGACTCAATCTCACATAAATTTGTGTATTATATTTCAATTCATCTGTTTCACAATAAAGTAGGACCGAATAAACTTCCCACATATTAGCGGTCCTGGACGATTAAAAACTTATAAGTGGCTAAAACTGATAATTTTACCAACTTGGATTAACTAAAAGAACTCTAGATAAGTTTACCTCTATGCTAGTATTATATGCGATAATTCTTAACGACGATATAATCTTATAAAAATAAAATTAAACAAATTAAAAAAAATTAAAATTTGATCTACGATTTGAAATCTTTATTGATTATACGGATTTGTATTAAGGTCAGTAAAAAAACTTTTTTCTACATTAAATTGTATTTTAATATAGCCGGAGAAAACTTGGTGCCCACTAAAATCTTTAACTGTTTCTCGGGCCCAATCTACTATAAATTCTGGTTGTATTACCGTATTTTTTTCTAAAGTTACTGCACAAGAAGAGTTCTCATTACTAACATTACCCTGTTTCTCTTTTTTTTTTTTGCTGCTTTTTTTGCAATTAGAGCGTCTAAAGCTGAAACCGAGTTTTCATTAGTTGTTTGGATAAACAGTACAATGTAAGAAACCTGGTTGCACTTATAATGTCGTACACCCCAACAATGATCATCTAATAATGAACTAATGGTTTGATATGCATCAAATCTCGAAAAAACACACTTATAGGCTCTTTTATGAACAAATACACACATTAAATATTGCCTGAAAAGCTCTAAATATTGACCCTCCATACAAGGAAATTTGATTACTTGTTTGCCAGTTTTCGAAAAGCAAGGGGAAGTCGTTTGTGGATAGCATGTACTAGCATTTCTTTCCATTCATTAATAGCGCTTTCTGGCAAAATATAAGATTGAATAGGAGGTATATTGTAATTACTATGCTTAGCATTTTTATATTGTGAAAGTCCTGCTGCAGATTTGTATCATTTTTTTTTACAAATCGTACATTCAAAAGATTTCTTGTACTTTGATTGAGGCATTAAAAAGAGCTTATTATTTACAAATAAAAAATATTATTAATATGTGTATATATAAAAAGTAAATTCTCGTTACAGCCTTCATTGTCTTTACTTACTAGTACGCGATTTCGTTCATTGGTTACCTGGGTGGGTTCATTGGTTTGATGCTAGGATTTATTATAAAATTTTAATTTTTAGTAACAAAAATGATAATTTTTGGCGCTAATATGCAATGTCGATCTGTATTGATTATAAATTTGGGATGCAAATTTTAGGCCCAATTCCACAAATCTGCCGATATGTAAATCAACCTAATTCTGCTAAACGGGTAACTCGATGAATACAACGAATTGCTGACTATCTTTATAATGTTATACATCAAAAAGGACGAGTTCATTCTAATGTGGATGCACTTTCTCATCTCTCTAGGAATCCATCCTAAGAAAAACATTAAAATTCAATAACCACAATAGAACAAACACTTTATACCAACTTTATTAATTATTTAACAACTTCGGAATTACCTCCAAACTTAACCTTAAAGGAACAACAACAATTTAAAAAACAAGCAACACATTATATTGTTGAAAACAACCAACTATACAGGAAACCAAAAGGGTCTTTACAAAAATTATTACATGTAGTTCAGGAGTCTGACTTATATACTGTTCTACATGGATTACATTCTGACATTCTTGCTGGTCATTTTGGCATTGATGGAACTTATAATCATGCTAAAAACAAATACTATTGGCCTAAAATGTATAAAAGTATTGCAAATTATATTCAAACTTGTGATACTTGTCAATGACAAGGAGGAACAAAACAAAATGAACTTTTACATCCATTACCAGTATCAACTCCATTTCATCGAGTAGGAATTGATATTGTTGGACCTTTAAAAATTACTCCTAATGGAAACCGATATATTGTGGTAGCTACTGAATATTTAACAAAGTGGCCTGAAGCTAAAGCTATACCTGACATGAAAGCTACTACTATTGCCAAGTTTATTTATGATGAAATTATTGTTCATCATGGATGTCTCC